TGCGCCCGGCAGCGGGTCCTCGTGTCGGGCTGTGTTTAATGAGGAGCCCGCTGAGCTCGCCTGGCTCCCTGCCCGCTCTCAGAGCCATCTCCCCTCCGACACTCGGCCAAGCACGCCAGACCACTGTGGAGCGTGGGGCTGACCCCATCGCCCCCGGACAGACACCGGCTCCGGTGGCTGCTTCCTGCTTTGCTGGCAGCACCACCGCGTTTTATTTGGGATGAGTCATACAATATCGACTGGTGCTGGGGCAGGGACTGCAGGTGACATCAGTGGCATTACACACCCAGCCCCTGAACTGCGAAAAATGAAAGCAAAGCAAGGATGGGCTCCTAGACCCTCCTGCCACCGCACACGGCTCCTGGGTGGAAGAGTCCGGTGGTTCCCTGGGGATGCTCGCAGGCTGCCGGCCCCGGGCAGGGCAGAGCTGCGACCCGATCCCGTTACGACGCCCTGAGACTGGGGCCGTGGGAGAGCCACCCTCTGCCTCCGCAGCCAGAGACACAATGTCCAATTCTATACCTCATTCGCCTGCACAAGGAGGTCACACGTGGGCGCCGGGTGCTCACGGCACCCACTTGTCTCCAAAAGCGGTTCAAGAGCGTTTTCGCACCCTTGAAGTGGGGGGTGAGAGCAGAGCAACGGCGCAGCGAGCTCGCAGCGTGCCTCAACAGGCCCTTCTGCACAGCCGCAGCCACAGGAAGGGAAGGCAGCGCGCGTTCCCCTTCGTTAGGGTGCGAGAGCAATCACCCCCCAGCCTCCCCCCTGGGTTCCTCACACAGCGCAGCCCTCACAGAGGACACAGTTACACACCATCAGTATTTATTTACATGTTATTAATAGGGAAATTATTAATCATTATCCTGATCGAGTTGAAGATGTCCCTGCTCACTGCAGGGGGGTTGGACCAGATGGCCTTTAAAGGTCCCTTCCAACCCAAACCATTCTCTACGATTCTACGCAATGTTCTGAAGCAGGACGAGGAGGGATGCTCAGCAAGTACCACTAAGCTGCACCCCAGGAAAGACACCGCTCACCAGCTCAAAGTGTTTCTGCGCAGCCGTGAGGAGCAACCAGAGCCATCTGCCTGCATCACTGGCCCGTGCAGCAAAGCTCGGGCACACAAGGACACAGTTCTGAAACTGCCCTGTGGCCAGGAAAGCCTTCAGCAGAGCAAGCAGCTCTGCTGCTCCCTGCTCCACACCCCGTCAGCAGCCTGGCTCGAGGCATGCCTTCTCCCCGAGGCCCAGAAGCCCCGCTCCCAGGGCTGTGGGATGACAGACTCCATCCCTACGGAAGGGAAGCAGCACCCACGGCACGGGAAGGACTCCACATTACCTTCTCCAGCCAGGCCAGGAGCAGTGCCCTTGGCTCAAAGGCCGGCAGGAACAGGCGACACACAGGGTCTGTCGCAATGGCAGAACCACTCCCTGCGAGAGCACTGAAGGTCAGCTCGCTATCTCACACCTAGAAATCAGGCAACGCTGCAGGATTAATGGGAAGGGAAAAGGGACAGACGCTTGCGGCCACCAGACACGGTTAAGAGTGTAGAACTCAGCCTGTTCACCTCCACCCGGGCAGGGAAGGAGCAGGGCAGCAGCCTCCATCACCAACTGCATCCTGCCCGACCAAGTACAGGCATCTCATGCTCGACTGCTTTCATCCTCCACGCCGCAGCCCATCCCTGCGAGCCACGGCACGCGCTCCGGGCTGCGGGCCATGTCGGCAGCCACCGCAAAGTTCCCAGAGCTTCCTACCCCATCTCAGATAGAGCCCTGCTATAGACACAGATATAGATATACAGAGGAAAGCGTTAGAAAGAGTCAACCCCAAAATGATTCCTCCCTAGGAAACCTTCTGAGCTGCTAGCCATCAGGAGAGTATTCAGAAGCATCTGCTTTGATAAGACTATCTGTTCACGCAGCTCTGTGTGCCCCTGTCCAGCGGGCGCTCACCATCACCCTGGGAGGCAGGAGGCGGCAGCGCTGCGAGCCACGGCACGCGCTCCGGGCTGCGGGCCATGTCGGCAGCCACCGCAAAGTTCCCAGAGCTTCCTACCCCATCTCAGATAGAGCCCTGCTATAGACACAGATATAGATATACAGAGGAAAGCGTTAGAAAGAGTCAACCCCAAAATGATTCCTCCCTAGGAAACCTTCTGAGCTGCTAGCCATCAGGAGAGTATTCAGAAGCATCTGCTTTGATAAGACTATCTGTTCACGCAGCTCTGTGTGCCCCTGTCCAGCGGGCGCTCACCATCACCCTGGGAGGCAGGAGGCGGCAGCGGTCACATCTCATCAGCACGGTGCTGCTGAATGACAACTCTGGCAGTGTGTTCCACCCACTCCTGCCTCTTGGCTTTCCACGTCACCGCTGCCTGCAAAGGCTCGCTCTGTGAGCACGGCTCCGGAGGCTGGGAAGGCCCCAGCTGGGAGCCCGCTGACACCAGAGGGTCAGAGGATGAGCTGCTGTTGAAGGATTCGGGATCGGGGCTGGGTGGACTCTGCCCCTCTTTGCAGGATTGATTGAGGCTGCCCAACAGCGAGGGGTCCTCAGGTTCTGGGCTGAACCCCTCCAGCGCAGCTTCCTCCCGCACATCAGGTGCTACCTGGTTTGGGAACTCGCGGATCTGCCGTGACAGCACTGCAAGAGAGTGGAGCCAGCCCTGTCATTCCCAGCCCCTCACCGTCCTGCTCAGAGCACATGGGCCAACAGAGCCCGCGAGAGGGGAACAAACTGTTCATCTCGGACCCCAGGCACGGGGCTGCTGGGCTGGAGGCATCCGAGCTCAGGCTGTCTCCGAGGAAGGTGCCCTGCCCCGGCAGGCAGCACTTCACCTGGAACCACACCTCAGCCCCCAGGCACTCACCTCTGAGCTCCAGCTGTGGCTCTTCGCTTCCAAACAAACACATGCTGGGGGAGAGAATGAAGCAGAAGGACAGAACCACGACCTGGAAAGAGAAAGAGGATCAGCACAGACCTCAGCAAAGGACGTGGACAGGCATCACCAGCCGCAACAAACACCTTTCTCCCAAACCTAAAAGGACAGCACAGACGCCTTCACAGACACCGGGGCTGAAGCCACTCACCATGGTGCAGGTTTTTGCTGCGGCAGTTTTGGTGGTGGACTGTCTCACCAAGGCCTGCAGTTTCCGCAACTGCTCGAGCAGCGACCTGCAAGAGAGCAGGCAACGCAGGTTAACACAGCGGCTGAGCCACGAGCTGCATGCTCCTCTCCTCCCCGCTTCGCAGCCAAGGACAGGCCACAATCTCAAGAAGAGGAACAGTCTTCCCCACCACATCTCCCGCTGTGTCCAACAACGAGAACTCACATGTTCTCCTTCTGCAGCAGCTGCACCTTCTTCTCCAGCTCGTGGTTCTGAGCTGTGCAGACAGCCACCCTTCCCGGCAAAGATGAGCAGCACGGAGAAAGAACAGAGAGGTTTTGTCAGTCAGCAGCAGGGACTTCACCAAAGTCTCCCCTCGAGTAATTAGCCACCACCTCTGGCTGGCTGGGGCAGACAAAATTTCTCCTGGGGTCTACCTGGCACCACATGGAGCAAAGCCCAGAGCGTGACATCTCACACCAGGTTCGGGGAGGGGCGAGCCCTGCCCAGTCCCGCAGAGAAGCACTAATCCCCGAGGATGCTTGCTCCTAGCAGCACACCAGTCCAGCAGACCCACGTCAGGCTGCGTTAGCCTGACCTGGAGAACACTCTGCAGCTGGCCGGCTGGCACCTGGCTTGAAATGAGCAAGCTCTGGGCTATCTCCAAGTATAAGACAGCAGTGCAGGCCATGCCCCGAGCCTCTGAGGAGAGCTGCTGCCCCACAGGGTCAGCCTCAGCTTCTGCCCAGGGTGGTAAGACCCCAGCGGCAGCACAGCACAGCTGCTTGTGACCGGTACCCCCTGCTCCCACCCCCGGCAACGCGGTCAGCATTTTACGAGGCAAGCAGCCGTTCTCTGTGACCCAGCGCATCGCGCATTCGTTCCCTTCCCCTCGTTATCAGGCCATGAAGGTCCTGTGCACCAACCAAGCAGACAAATCGAATAGACTTCTTCCCCTCCCTATCGGCCTCAAGGCTCCTGGGCGCCAGGCTGGTTACTCCCTTCCTTACCGGCCTTGAAGGTCCCAGGCACCCGGCCAGGCCAGTGTTGTTGACGACCCTGTCACAGAGCAGGGAAGCGTAACAGCACACAGAGCACTGTCCACAAAATCAAGCCATTACAAGTCCTAAGGGGGAAACTGGAGCAGAGCTGCTGCTGGACAGTGAAACCCAGGACCACCCCGGCCAGGGACACCTCCACCACAGTCTGCTCCCTCCCAAAACTGATGGAGTGACTCCCATTCCTTTCTATCACTTTCAAGTCTAGATTGAGATCATTGTATTGATACAGCAAACCATGTATTAAGATCCAACCTGATCTACAGAGGATCCAGATGATTAGAAATCTTAATTTAAGTTGCATTAGAATCTAGGTGATTAGAAGTTACAACTTAGCTTGTGTTATAAACTCTGTATTGCGCTGCTTGTAGATCATACTACATTGATTCTGCTTGTAGAAATCCCGTACCATTCTAATCCGTGCTATACTAATCATATTATGTTAAGAACATTAAGCTTCAATTGATGGTATGATTTAGCATTATCATCATTCTGCAAGGCACCCCTATAAGAACCTGCCTGTCCCCTCAGCGTCAAGCAACACTGCTGTGTGCCTGTACCTGTTTTCCAAGCCATCCACATAGATCTTCTTCCTGTGACGACTATCCTGGGCTGACTGTTTGTTCCGGATCTTTCGACGCACTTTCTTCAGAAGCTGCTCTTCAGCCTGCAAGGGTCATCTCTCATTAGCAGCAAACCCAGGGCGCTGGCAATCCAGCCCTCACAAACCCCGTGTACATCTCTGCGCTCAGACTGCGTGCTTTTGTCCTCTGTCGCTCTCACACCACCGAACGAGCCGCAGTGGCTGCAAGGCAAACTCCAGCCTGCTGATGAGGCCAGCAGCTTCTCTGTGTAGCAAGGGTGAGGCACACCTAAGGGAGACGAAAAGCACGCAGCTTACAAGCCACCAGGCAAGGAGGCAAAAATAGACTGGAGGCACTTGCGGTGTAACTGCCTTCCTGCAAGCAGTGATGAGAAGGGAGAGCGCTGACAGCAGCCAGGTCTCACTGCTCTTTGTATATACATCATCAGCAAAGCAAAGGCTGCTGTGCACGTGGACACCCCCAAGCCTCGAAAGGAGAAGCACACCAAGCCCTGCCACACACTGCCCTGAACACAGCACCTGGGCACCAATGCTCTCGTCAAAGAACCATCCTGTGTTTTCGAATCCCTACTCTGGGTGAGGCGTTCGAGCGGTCCAAGTCCATTTGGGAGTGACAGGCTGTAGCAAGGACTCACTTTGGTCAGCGGCAGACACGTTGGTAACGAAACACCTTCTTTCTCCAGGAGCTGCTTCTCCTCCTCTGTCAGGACCAGCTCTGGGAAGTCGGCCTAGGAAAGAGCAAAAATATGCCCACTTGAGAATGCAAAGCAAAGGGAGAACACCCCAGGGCAGACAGGGCATACGGAAAGCACACAGAACAGGGATCAGCTCTTCCAAAGCAGCATCATGCCTTCCTCAGAAATATCCACCACAGGAGCCCAGGCAGGAGAGAAGGGGAGAAGCAAAGGCTGGGGTCCACAGGCATGGTAGTCAGTACCTGCACGATGGCTTCAGGCACAAGCTGAGGTTCGGCATCCACAGCAACAGGGAAATCAGAGCTCTGTTCCAGTGCCTCGGTTGTGCCATCGAAACCCATCCATGTCCCTGGGGAAGGAAAGGAGAGTCGAGTGCTGGGCCTCAGTGAGGCAGCACCTGACCAGCCAGATTTGAGTAGCATGAAACCACAATTTTACAGCAGCAGAAAGCCACTAAATTCGGCTCTCTCCATCACTGCCTGGCACCGATCCAAAAAACCCCAATGTGGGACTGCTTTTCTGCCTGTACCCAGGACAGAAAGAGCCCATACACATCACTCACCAAGGTCAATGGAAACATCTCCTTCTGCCTTTTCAGACTTCACGCTCTCTGGCACGGGGCAGTCCTGATGGAGGGAATAGTTGTGATCAACCTGCACAATGTCTGAGCTCCGAGGACTGCCGACAAAGTCGCTGCCGGGGCTATGGGACAGATGCTGATCCTCAGAAACGCCACTGTCACTCTCAGCAGGTGAATAATCCTGCAGTGTGCCCGGCTGGTCCTCAGAGGTGCTCAGCAGGGAGCTGATGAAGTCATCCACCTCCTCGTTGAGGAGCTGCAGAGAAAAAGCTTTTACT